TCATCCAGAATCCTACTGCCATTTTTTATTATTATTATTATTTTTTGTGCTAAACAATTGTTATGATTTATTTATTCATTTATTAGGTGTTATTTTATTAATGTGAGAGTTGTATATATTTTCATGTAATAGTGTTAAGTGGCTAAACTGTGATGAGTAATCACATTTCTTAGGTCTATTTAAAGGCATTGGTAAATTGAATTAAAAAAAAAAAATGACTATACTCTCTCTTTCAGCTTAATCTCACGGATCTCTCTCTAAAATAAATACACCTTTACATATATTTATACACCTATAAATATATATATACTACATATTGCATATACTTTATCTATATATTGTTATATATTTATAATACGTTATCAGCACGAGACTTTGCCGAGGAAGTGCATATAAAGATAGCGTATTTTTTTGTTGTTGTATTTTAGGTTACTCGAAAGGTTACGGAGTTTCTGGTAAGTTTATTCATTTTCTTTTAACCATGTCTAATATAGTAAAATTTGAATTTCTCCCACTGGCAATTACCGGAAATAATTATATGCCGTGGGCAATGGACGTCAAGATGCACTTGGAATTCATGGGGCTTTCGAAAACAATAATTAGTAAAAATGAATGCACAAATCAAGAACGTGCAAAGGCAATGATTTTCTTGCGTCATCATATGAACGAAAACCTGAAAATAGAATATTTAATGGTGAAAGATCCATTTGAATTATGGAAAAATTTGAAAAATCGGTTTGGACACTTGAAATATGTCATATTGCCAAAAGAAAAACACGCAAGGCAACACTTGCGTTTGCAAGATTTTAAAACAGTTTCCGATTATAATTTCATGATGTTCAAAATCACGTCCCAATTAAGATTTTGTAGAGAAAATATTTTCGATAGGGATATGTTGGAAAAAACGTTTACTACGTTTCATGTATCTAATATAGTTTTACAGTAACAATATCGAGAAAGAGGTTTTAATAAATATTGTGATCTTATTATTTGTCTACTTGTTGCTGAACATAATAACGAATTATTATTAAAAAATCACGAATCGAGACCAACTGATGCAAGTCCATTCCCTGAAGTGAATGCGACTCAGTGTTTGAATAATGTGCCTAGATTCTACCGCAGACGAGGTCGCGAACAATGCAGTGGACGTGGATTTAGTCGTGGGTGTAGAATGAGTCATGGACGCGGAGCCGACCGTGGACGTGGTCGTGGCAGGTTTGTTTCGCATTACTACCGTCAGGGATATTTTTATGAACAGGAATCAAATAGGCCTCTGAAGCGGTCTCAGAATTATGTTGGTCAGAGTTCAAAGAAAAACAAGGATAAGTGTTATCGTTGCGGAATGACAGGACATTGGTTCAAATTGTCATTCCAATTCTTATTTCGTTGAGTAGTACCAAAATTCTCTGAAACAGAAAAACAAAGAAACTGAAGATGTTGAAGCACCGGAAAATGCCAATCCCTCATAAATTAATTTCTCGGAGAACATTGTCAGTGGTAGTGGGGGTGATAAATGTAATGATAATACGCAATTAGATGTACCTGATTTTCTAGTACATCCTGAAGGTGAATACTATAAAAATCCCGAAAGTGCGATATAATAGTACACATATAGATATGTGTATATATTTTTGTAACACATGTAGTTTTTGCTCCCTATATTTTGTAATGATATAACAACTATGTATTTTCTCCAAATTTCTAATATATTTATTCTTATATTTCTCCCAGAAGAAGAAATATGAATCCTAAGCACGCTATAATAAATAATATGGAAGACAATTCATGTCTCATTGATAGTGCATCAACGCACACCATTTTGAAATATAAGAAATATTTCATCAACTTGAAGTTGGAAAAAATTGAGATGAATACTATAAGTGGTTATGCGAAATTAATTGAAGGCTTTGGAAAAGCGATAATATTTCTCTCCGAATGAGTAAAACTTGATATCCAAAATGCACTATATTCTAATTAATCTCAAAGAAATTTGTTGAGTTTTAATGATATTCGCTAAATGGATATCATATTGAGACATCAAGTGAAACAAATAATGAATTTTTGTTGATTACAAAATTCATTGATGGACATAAATATATATATTAGAGAAATTGTCTTCATTGTCTTCCAGATTTTATTGCACAAAGATTAATGTGGTTGAAACATATGACTTATTTATTCATTTATTAGGTGTCATTTTATTAATGTGAGAGTTGTATATATTTTCATGTAATAATATCAAGTGGCTAAAATGTGATGAGTAATCACATTTCTTTACTTATTTAAAGGCATTGGTAAATTAAATTAAAAAGTAAAATAAAATAAAAAGACTATACTCTCTCCTTTTAAATTCACTCTCACGGATCTCTCTCTTTCTCTCTCTCAAATAAATAGACACCTTTACATATATTTATACACTTATAAATATATATATACTATATATTGCATATACTTTATATATATTGTTATATATTTATAACAATTATCTTATTTTCCACTTTATTAATTGTATTTTTAAGGGCATTTACTCCATACATAAAAAATAAACAAACAAGAGTTTCTTTTCAAATGGAGTGGTTTATTTAATTGTTTGGGCTTTCAAGATGGATTGGGCTTTTAAGATATTGGGCTTTTAAGATATTGGGCTTTTAAAATATTGGGCTTTTAAGATATTGGGCTTTAATTAAATGGGCCTAAAACTTTTAACCTACAAATCCAATTCAAACTTTCAAGAAACACTATTTTCCCAATCCACTATTTAGGGCTTGTATGGTTGGCATTTAAATTTTGATTTATTTACTATCGATCTTCATGATCAATATGTTTTATTTTGATGTTTAGTTTTTATAATCACATCATCCCTATTTTTTCAATATAATTATTTCTACTAGAAAAATAATTGATGCTTAACTCGGTGAGAAAAAAAAAATTGAATATCAATACTAGTAAATAAAATATCTAAATACGGTTTAATCATCGTGTATGAACAAAACATTATGGGGTGAGAGAGGCTCGAACTCTCGACCTCAGGATAACTCTATAGCTATGAGACCTACGCGCTAGCCAACTGCGCCACCACCCCAGTTATGCCATTTAAAATTTAATGTAATTTAAGTAATTTAGATTTGAAATTCTTTTAATTTATACAGTTGGGATGAATTTTAAATTTTGAATGATTTATGTAATAATTGGTCTCAATTAATGATATGAAAATAAAATCTTGATCTAATATGTTTGATATAAACACATATATTTTTAATAAAATTAATATTCCTTCCGTCCCAACAACAATAATTTTATTTCCATAAATAATTATATTATTATAAAACTACTCTTACTTTTTTATTATTATTACACAATTGCCACTACTTTTTACACTAATACACTCACAAGGGCAAAAAAGTCTTTTACCCGTACTTTTTATCTACTACCAATATAATATCAATATTTCTTAAATCTCGTGTCAAACACAACCCAAACTATAATTATGGGACGAAGGAGTATTAATTAATGGTGGAAGCATGAATAGTTAGTTATTACAAATAGAAGGTTAATAAATTACTTTTGTCTTTAAGAGTAAAAAATATTTTTCCATCATGGATCAATAAAATATCAAAAATTTTATGACCAACTTACCTAGAAAGTATCAAATTAATTTATCAAAATTTTGTATATATTGATATTTTTAATAAAATATGATTGTTGTACCGAAAATTTATGTACAATATGGATATATATTTTGATTATTTTGTATAATTTTCACTATACATAAATATTTCAGTATATTACAAATCTTTCCCCACGTTGCGTATGGAAACAATATGCCAAAAAAATATAACATACTAAAAAAATTCGCTACAGTCTTGATTTGAAATTCAACATACTGAAAAGCATGATATGCTGAACTTCAATGTATTGAAGTTTTGATACGATATTGAATTTTGAATACTAAAAATTTTGGTACGACATTAAGTAAGGAGTATAAATTTTCATATATGATACTTTCATTTTTTTTCTTCTCTAATAATATTTTCTTCTCTAAAAAATTAGATATATATATATATATTTTTTTTTCTTTCAACGATTTTACTATTGTCTTGTTCTCTAATGGTTTTCGGTTGTTGTGTTACTTTGAGGTGCCATAGGCCATTCTATAAAAAGAGGACTTCTTGATTCGACTTTTGTTTTCCTCTTTTATTTGTATTTCAATTTATTTATTATAGATCTTCAGTGATTATGTAACCGGTGATAATTAATTTTAGAATTTTTAATGAACTGATCAACATGTTTTATTTTAATATTTAGATTTTATCATTCATCATCCCTATTTTTTCAATATACAATATAATTATTTCTGCTAGAGAAATAAATAATTGATGGTCGTTCATAGACTGTTAACTCGTTTGATTAATGATAATTTATATTTATACTTCCATGATCAACTTTATATTCTTCTTGTGTCATTCTTGATATTGTATGTCTATACAAGTAAATAAAATATTTTTATACAGTTTTACCTTTGTGGATGACCATTTTTGTGATGAAAATTGAATTGCAAGTGAAGGAAGAAATAAAGAGCAAATAAAAAAACACTATGGTGGAGAGCTTGCAAAGCCCAAAAATAATGGAGGAAAAAAATAAACAATTTTTAGACATTAGAGCTCAAATTAAATTTTGCTGTTATATAATTAATAATATATGTATTATTAAATGATCCCAACTCTATTTAATTCTCATTCGTTTAATTTTAAAACTTTTCATTTGAAAAGAGATTAAATAAAATAAAAATTCAATGGGGTGAGAGAGGCTCGAACTCTCGACCTCAGGATAACTCAACGAATTCAGCTATGAGACCTACGCGCTAGCCAACTGCGCCACCACCCCAGTTGTTGTTATGTGTTAATTATAAAAGTACTTAAACGTTAATTATAATATTTCTTAAAATAATAATTAATTAAATAATACTGTTATTAATTTATATATAACTCATTCATTATTAATTAATTATAGTCGCATTGTTCTAATACAGAGGCAACTTGGGACCTCTGGTCCAGAGTGAGGTGAGCAGGGAATTCTACATCAAACTTGAGCCTGAGGTCCCCTCTTTTCTTCTTCTGATTCGCAACGGGCATGCCCTGCCCGGCGATGCTGGTTTCGTATCCGGGACATATAATGACGTCATCGAGGGTCAGGTCGGTGTGGCCCCCGCCCAGCAATGGCACCGACATGGCGCACCCCAGTAGCGCGTCCAGGAGCGGGACCTCCACTCCCAGCTCCAGGTCGTCCCCTCGACGCTTGTACAGCGGGTGCGGCCTCTCCTGGACCTCGAACACCACGTCCGCCGGAAGATTCCCCGGCCGCTCGCCCCCCTTCCCTTCGAACACGATTCTCGTCCCCTTCCGCCACCCCCCCTCCACTTTTATCGTCAGAACCTCCTCCTCTTGAATCATCAATCTACATCATAAATAATTAATTACATTTTATTTATTTGATTATTTATTTTATTTTGTTTTGTTACCCGTTGGTTGACAGGGCGTCCCTGGTGATGTTGATCTTCTTCACGCATCCGAAGCAGAGCTCCTCCAGGCTGCAGTCGAGCTTCTTCTCGACCGGCGGCGGCTTGCGCCGCGTGCCGGATTGGGAGAAGAATATCGGCATCGTCATCACCGGGCTCGCCATTTTCGGCGTGGTCGAACCGGCTGAGCCATGATCGTGATCGACGGTGGGGCTGTTGGCTTTTCGGCTCGATCCGGTCGCCAACGCGCCGCCGCTGATCCGGCTCGTGGTCCGCGCCACCAGGGTGGGGCTTGAAATGTGGAGCTCCTCGCCGTCGTCGATTGGCGGCGGATTGGGAGTTGTTTTGTTGAAATAATTTTTGGATTGATTAAGGTGGTTGGCCGCCGGGAGTGGTGTGATCTGGCTGGTTGTCCGTACGAGGAGCGTAGGGCTGGAAATGGTGAAGTCGTCGCCGGCGCCGGCGGCGGGGGAGTTTCTGGATGGATTGTTGTTGCGGGGGGTGATGGGGGCGGCGTTGGTGTTGGTGCTGACGGTGCGGGAGAGGAGCTTTGGTCCCGAAATGCTGAACTTATCGTGGTCCTTTGGGGAGGCCGGGTGCCCGTCGGAGTGCCATTTCTGGAGGAGGGATTTGTAGGTTTTGCAGATGTCTTTTACATAAACGGTTTTCTGTCTGGACAGTTTTGTGTTTGAGGATTTTCCAAGATCTCCCATGAGAGAGACACAGAGAGAGAAATTGGTAAGAGATTTTTGGAGAGGGAGGGGTTGGAATGCTTGTGTCTGAGTCTGATATTGAAGAATGGAGTTCGAAGTTCTTGGAAGCTCCCGGGAGTAAAGCGCCGGACAAATTTGGACGGCTAATTTGCTGTAGGGATCAGAAGATCAACGGATGAGATTATTCTGGTGTTGTGTTGGTGCCCGTAGAATGCGCGTTGGTAATTACGTGAAGAGAAAGCGGATATATAGGGTGGTTTTATTTTCGGCTTTTTGGTAGGTTGTGAGAAAAACATTTCTGGCCGTCAATTCTATGGTTTCTTTTGTGTATTTGACTTACACTTTTTATTTAAATATTATTTTGATGATATATTCTTAAAAAATATATATATGTTTTTATTTAAAATTATGGAAATTATGTAATAAAATTTTTGGTTTGAATTACAAATTTTAAAAAATAATATAGAAAAAAAATTACGAAATAACTCCAAATGGTGATAAGTTGGAAGAAAAATAATTAGGTAGTATGGGCCTGGCCCAGAAACGCATCTCAATATAAGTATGATACAGGCCCGTCCTGGGTATTTAATTTCGTTTGATTATATTTAAATTTTTAAATTTTAAATATATTTTGATATCTTATTTTATTAAAAAAAAAAAGTATGTTTTTATTTATAATAGAATCAAACCAACTCAAAAAATATTTAACAATAACTAATTTTTTTTTCACTTTTCTATAAAATAATTACACAAAGTCCTGTTTGTTATTTTTTCCTAGAACCCATCAAAATTCGAAAACAATTAGGATGTGTTTGTTTGGGGGATTTTCCCCCAAATACATTATTCATCCAATTTTTTTATTCCAAAAATATAAAATCAAACACCTACTTTTTATTTTTTTATATTATAAAAAAATTAATTTTACATTCAAAACATCACATCAACGCCTATTTATATAACATCGTACAACTATTCAAACATAAGATTTTACTATCCAAATCCCAACTCAAAATCCAAACTCCCAAACAAACATAACCTTAGTAAATATGGTTTGTGTTTACTTTATATTTTGAAATAAATATATATTTTTTATATTATGTGTGAAAATATATTATGTTAGTATATATGTATATGATCAAAAATCATTTATGGTTTCATTCAAACCAAACCTTTTTTTATTTTTTTTTTTTGCAAAAAAATTATCAAAAATAATATCACCCAAAAAAACTTATCGTTAACGGATCAGGCTGACGTAATTATTATGGACGCTCATCTAGTAGCTGAGTCGGACCAAACACAACCGTGTTTAAATTTACAACACATCTACCAGCTTGACCGAATTGAACATGGGCATGTCACAGTACACATGCTCGTGTTTACTCTCAAAACACACTTGTAGTGAACGTGTTTGAAACATAGGCATGATAAATGACACACGTCCATGTTCAGCCTCACTATACACCTGAGTTTAAATACGGAGGTGTATAAATGAAACACAATAATGTTGTATCTTAAAACAACTTGGATTGATTTAAAGTGTTAAAAACAAACACGGCCGTGTTTAACCTCGTTATTAAGAAAAGTCCTAGCCAACATGTCCCCCATTTCAAACCTATTCTTGCTGACATTCTTTCATTTTCTGTTCATTTCAGTCTTGCATCTTCAGCATTCCAACCGTACATTCCACCTATTATATTTTATATTTTATATTTTTTGGAGTAAAAAATATTGTTGGGGACTTTCGTTTTCGAATATATGATTAATAACTGTGTGTAAGTATATAAAAAAAAAAAAAAAAAAAAAAAAAACAAAAAGAGAATTACACCAATTAACACTTGCAGCTAGAGCTGATAAAAATTGATAAGACGACAATCTGACACGAAATAATTGATTTTGAGTTAAAGATTTCAATCCGATTATATACAACACGAACCCGACACAATAAACGAGTCAATTAGGGTTAAGACTCTCAACTCGAACATGATATGATAACTCGATTATAATATATTAATATTGATTAATATATTTATTATATATATAAAATAATCATAATTTAATAATTTTTTTATAAATTAATTTAAACTGAGTTAAATTTTAAATAATTCGACTCAAACCGATAAAAACTAAACAAAAAATAATTTTATTTGGATCAAGAAGTTTGACTTAATTATGTATACGAATTAACACGAGTCAACCCGAACCCGATACGATAATAAACGATCAACACGAACCCGACATAATTCAATCCGTTTAAAGTATTCAACGGTACAAAAATTCGATATGAATCGACCAATTGCCAGCATTAGGGCCCGACAGTCCCAACGCCGTTACTGGATAATTAATATGAATCCATCCATTCCACCTGCCTGCCTTGTCCGAATCTTCTTCCACAACCATACCAGCAGCCGGCGCTTCTGACTTTCCCAAGACACCATTTATTCATTCATCCATTCTTACGTGCTGCATCTCCATCCCTGATCCCTTCCCTTCGAAATTCGAATTTTCCTCCCTCTTTCCTACCTCAACCGTCGCTTTCCCTATGAATTTTCTACCTCAGCCTCAGACGTATAGCTAATTAATTCACCCCTCCGATCGATGGTTGTCCGATCCCAAACCCCCCAATTCGCACCATGAATCCGAATTTCTCGATTCTCCCAATTTTAATCTTTCTCCTTCAGACAATCACTCCCGCCGCCGCATCCTCGGAGGAATGTCCCCTGAATTTCGACTACGTCTCGACAGTTCCATGGAACGCTTCGGACTGCAGAAATTCCCAAAACGCCACCCAAACGCGGTGCTGCCAAACCCTGCTCTCTCTCTACGGCATCTCTCTCTCTTACCACCTCAAAAAAACCTCCGATTTCCATCTCCTCGATTTGCCCACTTCCATTTCTTGCCTCGACAGCTTCCAGTCCAACCTCGACTCCCTCGCCCTCCCCTCCAATCTAACTTCCCTCTGCTTAAACCCTGCCCAATTCGTGACATCCCCAGACACCTGCGCCTCGATTCGGACATCCCAGGATTGGGTCAAGAAGCTCGGTCCATCCACCGCCGTCGACTCTTCTTGCAAGCCGGACCTCACTGTTCCGACATCCTGCGACGCCTGCGTCGCCGCCGGATTCGCTGTCCAGAAACAATTGGTTGGTATTGATGGCAACCAGTCTCATTCCCTTAACTGCTTTTACTTTACTGTTCTATATGCTGCTGGGATTGTGAATCAATTTGGTCCTGAAAGTAATGGCGCTCTTACATGTATATTTGGTCTTCCCGTCATTGCTCCTGCTCGAAATGGAGCTTCCAAGAATCGGCATTTAGCCCTTGTTTTAGGTTTGATCGCCGCCGGCGTGGCTATTGTTTCGATATTTAGTTTGTTAGGATTGTATTTATGGCGGTGTAAGAAATGTGGTAGGGGTAGGAGATGGGGTGGTTTGGAGGAAGGCCGGCGATCGGAGTCGAGGCTAAGGAGGCGGCCGAGCACGGTTTCGATATGGTATAAGTTTGAAGAGCTTGAGAAGGCGACCGAACGATTTTCGGATGCGAATTTCATCGGGAGGGGAGGATTCGGGCTCGTTTATAAGGGCGTATTGAGCGACGGCACTGTCGTCGCCGTCAAGAAGATAATAGAGTCGGACATCGAGGGAAATGCCGAGTTTTGTAATGAAGTGGAGATCATTAGTAATTTGAAGCATCGCAATCTCGTCCCGCTCCGAGGTTGTTGTGTGACAACGGGGAACGACGAGAGCAATCGGTACCTTGTGTACGATTACATGCCGAACGGAAACCTCGACCGACATTTATTCCCGGGTAGCGACGGAAGGCATTCGACTTTAACGTGGCCGCAGAGGAAGAGTATAATCGTGGATGTGGCGAAGGGATTGGCATATCTACATTACGGAGTGAAGCCGGCGATTTATCACCGCGACATTAAGGCGACGAATATCCTTTTAGACGCGGAAATGAGGGCGAGGGTTGCGGATTTCGGGTTGGCGAAGCAAAGTCGGGAAGGGCAATCGCATCTCACGACTCGGGTTGCTGGGACGCACGGGTATTTGGCGCCGGAGTACGCTCTATACGGGCAATTGACGGAGAAGAGCGACGTCTATAGTTTTGGCGTCGTAGTGTTGGAGACGTTGTGCGGGAGGAAGGCGCTCGACCTCTCGTCGGGATCTCCGAACGAGTTCTTGATCACGGATTGGGCGTGGTCGCTCGTGAGGGCCGGGAAAGCGGAGAAGGCGTTGGATGCCTCGATTTTGGACGGTGGAGATTCGCCGAAAGGGGTGATGGAGAGGTTCTTGTTAGTCGGGATTTTGTGCGCGCACGTCATGGTGGCGTTACGGCCGACGATCGTCGATGCCTTGAAGATGTTGGAGGGGGATATCGAGGTGCCCGTCATCCCGGATAGGCCGACACCGTTAGGCCACCCGTCGTTTTTCAGGGGGGATCGTAACACGTTTAGCATTTCGCCGGCGTTGAGCGCGCTCCAGTTGAATGTCGGAGACATGCTCAGGTGAGGACAATGCCGGGTTCAAAATTCTTGTTGTGTCGTATGTATATAAGCTGTTTGTTTGAACACGGCCGTGATTTTGCATCAGTAGAGCAGAACTCCCAGGTGTGTGTGATTCTTGCGATGTCCGAGTTAAGGATGTTGTTTTAGGACATTGGTTGGGGAGAGTTAGGACTTAGGATTGGATTTTGTTATTGAACATCTCTTGTGTTTTTTTTTTTTTTGCATGTCTTCACAGAATGTGAGAACATAGGAAAAAAAAAAAAAAAAAAGTGAGAACATTTTGTGTGTGTATTTAGTCAATAAATTATGTACCTGAGCAGGTGATCTCAGGTGTCGGAGATTTGAACCCATTACTTTGATGGTCATAAATCCAATTTTACATCACTAAGCCATTCTTTACGGGATTAATGTACTTTTGTATTTTGATTGTTCTTATATATGGGCTTACATCAAAGTGTACTTCTACAATCCTATTTTCTTGAGGTTGTTTGATTTTTCATTTTTTTAAATCACAATAATTTATTATTATGTATTGTAATACTTTATATTGATATTACTAAAAAAAATATTAATCCAACAAATTGAAGCAAAACTTTAACAAATTATACGAAACACGAACCGATTGTGGATTAATTGGAAGATGTTCTTGTATGTTTGCATTTCATTTCTCTACTTATATTAGACCAACTAAGTTAAGATTACATAGCGACTGAATTGCTATGAGCAATTGTGCTGACCAATAAATTCTGCCATGTGTTTTTAAAATTTTATTTGTTACTTATACGTCTCATATAATTTGTCTATTTTTTTTTTAAATTTCAGTTTATTCCATATAATTAATTTTTAATTTTAATTAAACTATCTAGTCATATTTAATTTTAATTTATAATTATTTTTATTATATCATAATTATTTTTATTAATACGCTTATTAATTACTTAGTAATTACATTATATTTAAAACACTGTACTCAGCTAAAATAGACAAATTAATTGAAACATAAAAAATACTATTCTACCGCTACTAAATAAAATTTTAATAAAAATGTGACATCATTTTATTGGCACGTACAAAAGAGCCTAGAGGAAGGCATGTTTCTTCTCCGTAGGAGAAATTTAGGTTTGAATTTGGATTGGATTTGAATTTTAGGTTGAATTTAAAATTTTATGTTTCTTTTGATTTATAGATTTGATTTAAGTTTGGAGGTTTTTATTTGTATTGATTTGATAGATAAAAAAATAATGATATAAAATGTGTATTAAATTAAATTTATGAAAATAATAATAATATAATTTGAATATTAATTTGTATTAATTATAAATAAATATCTATATTTTTTTATTTAATTATATTATATAAAATTTTATTATCTACAAAATAACACATTATATTGTATATATTTTATTCAATCACTATTACTAAAAAAAATTAAAATTATTTATATTATAATAAATTGTATAATTCCTAAAATTTTAGAAAAAAAGAAAAAAGAAAAAGAAAAAAGGTCAAACCTGAGGTGACCTACCCCATAGCTGCAGACGTTGTCTGTTTCATAAGAGTAAAAAATCTCAAATGTTGCTTGAAGAACCGACTACCGCTCCTTCTCCGTTCTGTGTTCTGAAATAGAATTTCAAAATACTACATTAAAAATAATTAAGATACACGTACGCGAAAAAGTTCAAATGTAAAAATCGTTGACAAAAAGTTAGTCAAGTTATTTTAAAATTTGTTCGTGGTTATGAACAAGTTGATCAAAAAAGACAGAATGGGCAGTCTAGTGATAATGTCTTAAACAAGACATACGAAATATATTATGTCGATCGTCGTAAATCTTTCTCATATGCGCATGCATGACATGTGTTGAAACATAAACCACAATAACATACGATATTGTGCTACAAATATTGTTGGTGGAGCATCTCATTATAGTAGTTGTGGTTCAAAGAGAACCAAAATCAACGAATCTGGTGGATATTCATCAGGTTCAAATTCTCCAACACTACAAAATGACACGTTTGATGAATCATAGCTTATTCGTCCACCTGGTGTCAAAGCTTGCAAAAATAAGGGAACACGAGTGCAAAGACAAGACTCGGATTCTCGTTTTTTGAGAATTTTGAAGATATGAAATTTCAAAATGCAAATGTTATAAAATATTTGAGTCGCATTGCTGATATGAGAAAAAAAAAATGAAGAAGAAGATTGATCTTATTCAAGCAAAAAAGTTTGAAATATTTATTTTTTTATTTTTGCAAGAAGTGAAAATTTTGATGCGAACGAGAAAAAATTGAAGACCAAATTATTCAATGAATTATTTAATTAATCGTTTAGATTATTTATGTTGTTATGCTTATTGCTTTTAATATTTTATTTCTAATTTATTATGTTATGTTTGTCGATTTTAATATTGCATTATCAATATTATTATGTTTGTTGTGTTTGATATCCGATATTGTAATTTATATTATTTTTAATTTTTTTTTCTAAAATTCATTTACATATTTAGTGATTATATCTATTTTAATTATTTGTGTAATTTATTAAAATTATAAGATAATTACAAAATTAAATTATTATTAATTGATTATATTTAATTAAAAATTTTATTAAAAATATCAATATTCATTTAATATTTATTTATTATAATAAATTAATTATATATATATATATTCAATATTGGTATTATTTTATAAAAAATAAATTTTTATATATTATAAATATAATTTAAATAAAATACATAAAAAATAATAAAAACATACTAATTTTTTGCCATACGTCCCAATTTTAATTGAGATACTGGACAACATCAACTTTGTTTCAAAATTGTTGCGGTGCTCTTTGCTTGTATTTCTACCTATTTTTTTTCAATTTTCTTTAATAAAAAAAGTGACGTGGAGTTTTTCTATAGTGAAGAAACCCTTGATGTGGATACTTTAATTTATTAAGCTTTGTCTTTGACAACAACACACATTGTATTTTGAATGAACTTTGTTTGAAAATTGTTTTGTAAGTAAATTTTTTTTTTCGCTAAAATGGTCTTTCAATGCCAAATTTGCCATATTGGTCCGTCGTTGCTGATATAGCGCTGATGCAGCTGATATATAATCGTCATGTCAACGACATATCAGATGACCATTTTTGCCAAAAAATTTTACTTGTGGGACTATTTTCAGATATGGTTCATTTAAAATTATAAAATGATAAAAGAAGTTAGATATGAGATTAAAAAAATAGTTTACTAAGAAATTTTGCAAAATAACAATATATAAAAATTTTCACATTTCGTTGATGTGGCATATATGTGGCAATAACGTGTTAGCTACATTAGCAACGACAGGCCAGTGTGGCGAGCTTAACACCGGAGAACTATTTTCAGATATAGTTCGTTTAAAATTCTAAAATGATAAAAGAGATCACATATCACACTAAAAAAAACAACTTACCCAATTTTAAATAACTAAATAGTAATTAGTACCAACATAACAATATATGTAATGTAAAATAACCCGTATCGCTAATAATAAGTACATCCAAATATGATCAAAATACTTACAAGAAGGATGCCAAGTGCATCGAAATCAAATCCGTTAATTAAAGACTACAAATATAGTCCAGGACGACTTGGTAGTGTAAGTACACTCGTGACTGTGAGGTCATAAATTTAAATTTTCGACGTCTCTAAATCTTGTCCATCACACATGGTTCAATACCATATTGACAACACAGTGTATTAACAGACAATATATGATATTACTACAACGTAATTTGAAAAATCATCTAGATAACCATTCTCCTCGTTGAAATTCTTAGCCAATATATATATATATATATATATATATATCAATTACCCCTAAAAGTAGGGGTTGTGAGGGTAACATGTTGGCTGTCTTTACAGTGTTCACATGTTTTTTGGGTTTAAATTATTTGAGTTTTAAATAATAAAAACGTTAAATTTAAATAATTATTTAATTTGGCATTGATATTGATTTAATATTTCAAATATATATTAATTTATAATATGATATATAAAAAATAAAATAAATATTTGATCAATACTCTCTTCGTCCCAGAAAATATGGGTCTATTACTGTAGAGACGAAAATTTAGGTAAAATATAATTAGTAAGTGATTAAAAAGTGTATTAGTAAAAATAATTATTGTATAATAAAAATAATTATAGATTAAGATTAAGATAAATAAATAGTTTAATTAAGATTAAAAATATTATAAAATATAAAATTTCAAATGGGATTAAAATGTATAATCATATTTCCGAAAAAGGAAAAGACAAATTCGTAGGACGGACGAAAATAAAAAATAGGGGGATGGAGAGAGTACTATTTTCAGAGGTAAAAATTATTGATTAGTAAAAAAAATTCAAACAAAAAAAAAAAAACTTTAAACCGATCGTGATCAAAAATACCGATCATGGCTTTATATAACTATCATACCGGGGTTAGTTGAGTGAATTGGCCCACAACTTACTACAATCTTTGAATAAATAGATTGTTTGCTGGTCAATTGCAGTCAAGTGGGTTCAACAAGATTTTTAACAATATTAAAAATATAAATTTTTTATAATTAATATAAAAAATAGTTATACAATAGATTTAAATAATAAATATTTAATATAAATTGATTTAAAATTTTAAATATCATCTATCGATATTTTTTTTTAAAAAATTTATAAATAAAAAATATTTAAACAACAAATAAGAACTATTCTTATAAATTTTTTAATAAATTACAAGAAAAAACTGAAAAGACAATAACAGATAATAAAAAGTGAATAAAAACAAACGAATTTTTTTTCTTAAAAAAAAACAAAAAACAAAGAACGCGACAACATTGATAGACAAAAACATAATGCAGCATAACGACATAAATAATATTGGTTAATGGGGTTAATATAATATAATTTTTTTAATAAATTAATTATTTGATTTAATTTAATATAAAATATTTTAAAATTATAAAAAATATAATACTCCCTCCGTCCCGCAACAAGGGTGACGATTGTTTTTTGCACGTAGATTTTTGAATATTAGTATTATATTGAATTGTAGTAAAAAGACAAAAATACCCATATTAGTATAGTGTAATATAAAAGTAATGACATTTGTGTAATATATTGTAAGTTGAAAGGGTATTTATTATGCGAAATAGGTAGTACAATTACTAAATTAGGAAATGGTAATCTTGTTTTGGAATAGACGAAAATGGAAAATAGTAACTTTTCAATGGAACGGAGGAAATATTTTTTTCATCCAATATGTATATATTAGTTTATTTTTTCATTTAACTTTTTAAATATTAGAATTTTATATGTCTAAAATTTTAAAAAATAAATGTATGAATAGTCAAATTTAACTATAAAAAATAAATTAATTAACAATGATAATAATATTTTTGTAAGAATACGCTAACCCGTCACATACTACAGGCTAATCCATTTCCAACTCCCAGTGTAGTTCTTTTGGTTAGATGCACAATTTAAAAAATTAAAATCCAATCATCTTTAGAAGTGGGACGGGTGGACCAACTCGACATAATCAATTCATTTTTACAGTTCTACAACTAGATAAAACTACTCCCTCTGTCCACCGCCTATCTATTCGCCTATCTATTCGTTTACTTTTTGCACGCAGATTTTAGTATATTAGTATTATATTGATATGTGATACAATTGATATACATAAAGATTATTATACCCCTTAACATTTATGATATTAAGTGGTGTTATTTGATGGTATTTGTGTAATATTATATAAAGAGTGATGTAATTTTATATTTCAGTGGAAGATACATTTATTAAAAAATAAATAAATACATTTGCAAGTACATACTAAAATAACAAAATGAATAAATTAGAGGTGGACAAAGTGAGTATATATTTGACAATATCGTCTATCCCATTCCCACCCCAAACTCTATCTTCCTATATCCCCTTGACACCTTGAATGTATGGAATAAGGGGATACGATTTTTTTGGACAAAAGATTTGTCGCAAACTTTTAGCTGTCCAAAATATCAAAAATAAGTTCTCAGTCAACACTACATAGAGTATCAATAATCTTTAGGGTAAACTGTTTTTTTTTAGTCTCGTAACTGGACTTCCTTATCATTTTAGTCTCGTAGGTAAAGCATGTCGCAAACTAGTCCCATAAGTGAAAAATTTTCTCCGTTTTAGTCCTCCGGCGCCGGAGACGCCCGCGTGGCTCGCCGGAGGTGACGTGTCCGCCAGGTGTCTCGCCATATCTGTGTCACCTGGAAGACACGTTGATTTATTTATTTATTTCATTTTTTTTAATTTTTTTAATTGAACCAAATAAAAAAAATAAAAAAATGCAAATAAAATTTAAAATAAATTAAAAAAAAATTAAAAAAATGAAATAAAAATATAAAATCCACGTGTCAGCCACGTATTGCTGACCTGGCGGGACACTTGGCGGACACGTCACCTCCGGCGAGCCACGCGGGCGTCTCCGGCGCCTGAGGACTAAAACAGGGAAAAAATTTCACTTATGGGACTAGTTTGCGACAGGCTCCACTTACGGGACTAAAATGATAAGGGGGTCGATTACGGGACTAAAAAAACAATTTAACCTAATTATTATTATTATTATTATTATTATTATTATTATTATTATTATTATTTACAAATGCATACAAATTAGATTACAAATATAAAATATAATTATGGTTGAATATTAAATAGTGATTCATTTAGCACCACCATTAGCTTGCATTCATTTTACAAAAGTAGCACATATAAAGGTAGTCCAAAAATTTCATTCAAATGTTCATTCAAATACACACATATATATATCATTAGAATATTGCCAAAAGTACATTATTGAATGTTGAAATCGACAAAATATTGTACGCATTTTAATCAAAAGTAATCTCAAGAGTTGTTGATGTAACCTCGATGGTCGGAGAATCAAAGGTAAGAGGAGACGATGTTGTAATATCCACAGTTGAAGAATCAAAGATAAAGTGGAGCTGATATAATCTCGATATATTGATTGAAATCGAATGAAGGATATAGAAACCGGCGATATAATTTCAATAGTTTCAATTTCTCCTTAGGAATTTTCAGAGTTAGTTAGGACAACCTTCCCCAACTTTGGCTTTAATCCTTTGTGAATAATATTTTCCGGCGAGCAAAAGCTCGCCCAAAGAATTAATTTCTGGCTAATTTTGCTAATGTGATTGGGGCAATTTTTCTTTTCTTCAACAATTATGTGTATCATTTGATCTCCTTCCTCACCTCCACTCGTGTGTTTGTTTGATATTTGAATTTTGAGGTTGAGATTTGAATATTAAAAAATTTGAATTGAAATAATTGTATTATGTGATAAAAAGAGACGCTGATGTGATATTTTGAATGTAAAATTGACTTTTTTAGTATAATATAAAAATTTAAAAATAAATATTTGATTTGATATATTTTTAAAAAACAAAATGATAGAATAATAAAATAGTACATCAAATCTCCAACACTAAGAACGACTAAAATAGTAAATCTAATTAAATTATTTTTTTGTCAAAGTAAAACAAAATAATGAATAGTAAGATGAAGTAAATCGAATCTAGACATCTTTTTTCTTTTAGCTACTTTATTTGTTTATTTACCGTACAACTATTTGAGCATAATATACTATTATTTCTTATAATATATTCAATCAAACAAAAAGCAAACATAAAAAATTATATTAAATTATATATATATATATCAAAAATCAATATTAGTTTCAATCAAATTTATTTTTTAGTCTCGTTTAAAAATAATTATCAAAATTAATTTCATAAAAAAAATAATAATAAATAACCATTTTTTATCTCCTCTTTAAAATTTCAATAAAATAAACCGACAACAAAAGAATAAACAAAGTGGAAAATAAAAAAGTTTGTTGACTTAGTATTTTTGATAGCATATTTTTCATAAATATTATTAAAAAAATAATACACATATTAAAAAAAAAATTAATATATTTTATTTACTTACAAAAAATAAATACAAAATATTATTTTTATATTACCAATATAAGTTTTTATACCTAATATAAAAAACACATCCATCCAAAAATATAAATTAACAAACCCTGAAAAAGAAAAAAATTAAAATAAAAAGTTACACCTATACATGTCAAATATGTATACATTTATATATGTTATCCCAAAATTATTGTATTTTACTATAAAAAAATGTTTTAATTCTTTTACAATATAGAAATTAATGTTAATTTTTAATAAATAAATTATTATTGTTTTTCTTCTTAAATAAAAAATACTAAATTACATTTTTCTATAAAAATTCATTTATAATTTCCTTTTTTTATTCTAAAAATCCATAAAACTAAAATTGCAAAAAATAATCTTCCATAAAAATAATTGATTTTTTAAATCTAAAGATCCTATTGCAATTTTCCATTCAATCAATTTTTCAAAAAAAAAAATTAAATTAAATCTTTTCAAAATTTAGATTACTCAATTTTCAATTTATAGTAATTTTCTATATAAAAAATATATATAATTCTCAAATTACTTATTTTCCACTAAAAAAAAAGCTAATTTTCTCTAAAACTTAAAAATTCTAAATTAATGTAATTTTACATAAATATTCAGAGTTTCCAAAATCATTTTTTATTTTTTTAATTCAAAAAATCTCCAAAAAAATATGATGTTAGGAAATGAGAATAATAGAATCAACATCTTATCTCATATATATTAGATATTACATTAAATTAAATTAAATTAATGCATTATATATATATAAAGGATATAAGATAAGCATATTTTTATCACTAACATTGACTAAAAAAAAATAGTATATTTGTAATGGAATTCCGTCACTAAAGATCACGTAGCTAACATAATTCCATCATTAATTCCGTCTCTAATATCATTAGTAACGGAAAAAGTGAATTTAAAGACGAAAAAAATCTCGTTACATAAATGATATTTTCTTGTAGTGCGTTATAATTATAAACTAAAAAAAATTGAAAAAAAAAAAAGACTCAATGACACAATGCCAATATATTTTGTTATTGTATGTTTAAAACAAAATAATTATTTTACTAAATAGAATTTTCTTTTCTTTTTTTATTTTTTTCAATCAGTGACATGTTTTTATTATATCAATATTAGTCTATCTCCTATTAATCTCTCTCTATCCCTCATGATATGGCATATTCTAATCACAATCGATATGTCATCCCATCTAAAGCAACCCAACATGATGCTTCCCAACAAACAAACCCTTTTTTGTTTCACCATCTACAAACCTTTATATTTTCACTATATATATATATATATATATATAGTTTATGGCGTGAGAATTGACGGCCGTTACTTTTCGATCACTATATAAGAAGTTAACTATCGTTCTATCTCTCTTAAACGTTCACAATGAGCCATAGTTCTTCTTCTATCAATGGCTTCATCAGCTTTCTTACACGGGAGTTCGACAACCTCAATCACCTCCTCCTCTCCCGTGACTTTATTATGTCCGCTACTTTCCTTCGACACATTCTCTCAGTCTTGCGATCCTCTCATTCCCAATTGACATCTTTGGTCCAAAAGTCGCACTTGCCCGTTGGAGGAAAATGGCTCGACGACTACATGGATGAAACCTCGAGGCTTTGGGAAGTTTGCCTTGCTTTGAAATCGGGGGCAGCTAGTATAGAGAATCTCTATTCTTCTGCCTTTAATGTTGCTTCTTTGCTTGATGATCATCATGCTTTAAATCAACAACTTTCCCGCCAGGTAAGAATTTTAGGTTATGTTTATATCGATACTTTTCATAGTCTTAATACTATTTGGCAATAGTATCTTTTTATATAACAAAAAAATTATCATATCAAATAAAATTTTTATTGTTTTTAAATTTATTTAAAACTTCAAAATTTAAAAAATCTCTTTATAGACAGAGCTTTAATTTGAAATGATTATTGAAAAATACACTATCATATACTATTTACTTATACACTGTTAACATATTCAACAACAATAATTTTTTTTAAAAAAAAATATCATATCAAACACTCGATTTTTTACTGTTTTCAAATTTTTTTAAAACTTCAAAATTTAAAAAATCCTCTTATAAATGACCCGTAATATGAAATGATTGTCGAATAATAACTATCATACTATTTACTTCTAGATAGTTTTCACATTTTATTCTATCTAACATCTTGTTTGTCGTATCTGCTATGCTAATTCTTTTACAAATTTGTTGTGAATATGAACCTAATAGTCGAACCATTCTAGGTCATTCGAGGGATCAATGCTTGCCAAAGGGAAATTCGAGCATTAGAATATGCGAACAAAGACATAGCAATGGAAAAAGCTCAAACATTGTCGCTTAATTCTCAACACAATTTTTCAATGGAATCATCAAAGAAGAACAAACACAATGGCATATGCGGTGTCCTCTACACAATGAGAAGCGCGAACACGTTACTCCTAATGATTTTACTCGGTGGCCTCGTGCACTATTCGCCACAATTGAGCTATTTCTCCCAAGAAAACTCCATTGGAGACTTGCCATTCGGATCCACTCTTACAACATCGATGGGTAATTTACGCGAGAGAATGGCAAACATAATGAGCCATTGGGAGCGCCAACCAACTTGTGCAATTCTTCTATACGAATTGCACGATACCAAATGTACAATGGATGAGATGAAAATTGAGATCGAGGGCACCATGCATTACAAGGGAGTGATCGATGTAAGGGAAAAAGTTGGAAAGTTGAAGAGTAGCTTAGGAGCATTGCAATGTGGGGTCGAAGGTATAGTTGGAGAAATCGATGATTTCTTTGACGAGATGGTCGAAGGGAGGAAGATGCTTTTAGACATGTGTTCTCATAAGTAGAGACACAAAGTGATCGAGAAAAGAATTAATGACATGTGAAGCCCAAGAAATTAAAGTATATGATTATTTTAGCGACATGTTTTTATATGTTACGTCCTCTTAAACTTGAGTAACTATTCAAATTTAAAATTTGAGTTCATATTTTATCTGAATAGATCGCTCGATTTTTATTATATTGCATTCTTTGTATGCGATAATTCACTATAGATGATGGTTTTTTTTTTTTTTTTTATCGAATAATATAGCTATAGTAAAAATATCATCTAGGCAAACACCCTAGTATGTACAATATTTTTCTTAAATATTGTTAAATTATATTTTTAACTTTTACTAAAAGCATATATTAAAGTCTTAAAGTTGCAATTAAGTCATAATATATGTAAGTATTCTTGGAGAAGAAAACGTGGTATAAAATCTTGAAGAAAAAGGAACTTCGATTCTTTCTTTCTGAATAAAGAAAAAAAGAAAGAAATATTACAAAATTAAAGTAAGAAGACATACATGCATTTATATATATGTTAGGACAATGATATCCTATCTTCTAAACAAAGCAAAAAAAATTAATTGATTCTTCTATCATGTTTCACCCGTTCAATATATATATATATATATAGCCGAACCAAATATATTTTTTTTATAAAAAAATATTTTTGTTTTTTTAGCGAAAACGTAATTATTTTTTTCTTTTTTTTACTTAAAAGGCAAAATTAATATTTATTATCACTTTTATTAAAACTTGTATCCAAATATTTAAGTACCCAATTAAATGACGGATAAAGTATATAATTAGGCTATGTTCTTTAATTAGATAAAAATATATATACATTTTTTGTTATTATATAATTTTCATGCTTTAAAAAAATAATTTTGTTTATAAAATGGGTTGAATTCTGATTTTTTTTTTTAAAAAAAAAGAATAAAATATATTTTTTTGTAATCAAAGATATGAACTCAAATTATTATACAAATAAAAGATATAATTAAACGCAAGATGCTTCTACAAAACAAATTACATCTCTACTCTTGTGACAATATATGAACAAAAAAATTAATAATTTTAAGGTGCACTATTTGAAATAATTGTAAATAAAGCCTATTGATTGAATAGTAACCATATTATTTTTAAATATATATTTATATGCTATAAAGTAATTATTCATTCATTTATTTCAAATTAAACTCCAATGTTATACGGTTTTTTTTTTTTTTTTCGAGCAAATGTTGAATGATGTGCAATTTTATTGAGGGTATGTTCTTTTTCCTTTTTTAAAAAAAATAAAATTTATTTAAAATTCCGATTACTTGTTAATTTTTATTGTTTTTTAGGTAAAATAATTATTGAATTTGATAATTAGTACAAAAAATTAATATATATATATATTCAATTAAAAAAAAGGAATGTATAATTTCCAAGTATAGGGTTCCAAAAAGAGAGAGAAGGTTGTCTGTAAGGGATGGTATGGTGAACCGGACGTCTCAGATCACATGCAACACATAGATCGCCTAGTGTGACTTTTCCGTCGAGACACACACTAAAATGTTTGCGCTTGTTATAGAAATAAACCAATATAAGGTAAGAGCAAATAATAAAGCGGAGATTTGCTTCCTATTATTTGGACATTTTATTTAGGACCTGAAACGACATCGTTTAGTGGCTGTTGGTAAAATGTTTCGGCTATGTATATATCATCAACTTTATTAGATATTTTTTGTCCTGCTTTGCGTAGACAAACTTTTGTCTCAATCCAACATATATATATATATATATTAAGAAATGTGAGTTAAATATTATTTTTTTTAAAAAAAAAAAGAAAAATGAGATAGATGGAGGAGAAATAAAACCAATTTCATTTTATTAATAATAAAAAAATTTTATACTAATAATATATTTTCTTGTATTTTACATTAAAAAAAAAATATTTTAAACAAAAATATTAACGCATCCAAAAATATAACCAAACAAATACCACCGAATCCGTCGCTACATGATATAATAATCCTCTCTCCGTTCCGGAACTAAATATTCATTTGCTTTTTTGTGCGTATTTTTAGAAATATTAGTATTATATTGAGATATAGTAGGAATAAAGTAGAAATGACTAAAATAACATTATTAGTATGTGTGATATAAAGGTAATGACTGTAATATATTTTAAGTTGTAAGGGTATTTGTAATGTTAGGTAGATTGTACAGTTGCTAAAAAAAATGGATATTTTTTTTATGGTTAGGATTAAAATGGAAAAATGGATACTTTGTTATGGGACGGAGGAAATATATACGATGGATCAATAAAAATTTATTTTGAAAAAAGGAAAGGAGAAAATTAAGCCAAATACTATATATATAGAATAGGATACATTAAATCTTATATATATATATATATATATATTTCACTTTTATATTAGTGAAAAAGATTTACAAAAGAAAATTGTAATATAGTGATTAGGTTGGATAAATGTTTTATTCGATAAAAATTTGTTGAATATAAATTAATTTGTAATGTAATATAAAATATAATAACCATATATATATATTTAAGTTAATAATTGTAGAAAGAAATTAGAAAATTGTGTGAATGTATATAGTTGAAAATTTAATCCAAATCCAATTCCAATTTAAATAAGCATATTTTACTTATTTGACTTTAAGGAAAAAAAAAAAAAAAGTAAAAATAGAAATTTTTTTTTTTTTTTGGGTAAAGAAAAGATAGAAAAAGTGATATTTTTTTACTAAAAAAAAATTAGAATAAATTTAGATGATAACCAAAAAAAAAAAAAAAAAAGAATAGATTTGAACGACAAGGCCTAGTAGTTATTTGTTGTCTTTAATTTTCCTTTGTAAGTAAGTAGTGGCCCTTCCTTTTGTATTTTGGTACTTTTGGGCCGGGCCAGGCCTGGCCCATAAACTCATACATCCTTCCATTTACTTATTAATATATATCCAAACCAAAAATAAAAAATAGAAATCATCTTATCATACTGTATAATTTTAACTATCGTGACAAAAATTAAGCAATAAAATCTGCACAATTTATTTTATACATTTATATTAAACGATATTATGTATTCATCCTTTAAAGTATTTGGAATATAACAAAATAAAAATATTATACACGTGTCATTTTTGTATAACATAATTTTTTGTTTTTGCAAAATTTAATACTCCCTTCCTCTTAGATATCATGTCCATTTTACTGTAAACACGTGAATTTACAATGAGTATAACTAGTAAATAATTAATAATATATTAGTAAAAATAATTATTGTATAATAAAAATAATTATAAATTAAGATTAAAATAACTAATTGGTCTGACTAATTTATTTAAAAAAATTTAAGATAAAAGTAAAGTGTATAATTTTATTTTATTTTTTAAAAAAAAAAACAGACAAAAATAAAGTAATAAATATGAGAAGTAGGACAGAGGTAACAGTATTTTGGTGTGCAATCCAAATATACCAATGCAAGGTAATAAATAGATCAAATTTGTATTATTCACACTAATTGCAATATTATATATGTTTCCTTCTCTTTTATTTTTTTATTTTTATTTTTCGAATTTAACTTTAGTTTAAATAGTAATTTGTTATATTTTATGGCTAGAAATGGAATATCTTATATGCGAAAGTTAAATAATAAAAAGGTGAAAACAATGTAAATAAAATAAAGTTTAAAATTAGTCTAACTTTGAGTTTATAGCACATGCTGCTGTATTTTTATGCTGCAGCCGCGTAAATGGAGTTATGCTCATTTAATTTAGCGCTATATCTAACACCAATTTTAGTGTTCAGTATAGTTAACACCAAAAAGCAATGTCAATTATGGTGTTCTTCATTTTTTTAATTTTTTTTTATTTGTATTTTTCTAATTTTTTTTTATTTATACAAATTGCAGATTGATTTGTAATTTTTATATTTTAATTGTGTGTATTTGTAGTTTTTATTGTTTATTTAGTAATTTAAATTTATTATAATTTAAATTATGTTTTTTTAAATATATTTAAATTTTACAATAAATAAATAGAATATTTGTAATAAATTCGAAGTACTTTTTTAACAAAAAAGTTATGTATTTTGTTTGCATATTTGTCACACAATAATATTTTATATTTGTAAATGAATAAAAATATATAAATTATCTTGTAAATATATATAAAATAAATATTTAAAATAAAATTTAATCGACCAATATAAACAGAAAATTTAATGTCTTGATTTTACTAAAGAAAACAATATAGTACATAGAAATACAACAATAATATATTATAAAGAAATACAACAATGTTTATTGAATTAAAAGAAAATATATTACAAAATAGTAATACAAATATTAAATAAAAAATAAGCATTAAAAAAAAAACAAAAAAAAAAAAAAAACACATACTAGTATGAACCTAAATTATCCTTACTTCCACCAATGTTATCGAATAATTGAGAGAACGAATCAGTCGTATTTGATTGATATTATTTTCTTTTTTATCTCTTGTTGTTGATTATAATATAGCATACCAATACCAAGATTTGTGTCTTGAACAACATTAAAACTTATCGCAAAAATTATATCCTCACGTCTAAACATTTTATATTCTAATTTTTGTTTTTCAATCTTATATTTGTTAATTTTTTCGTATGATTTTTTAAAGTTTCAACAACTTCTGAGGTGTTGCTCATCATGGTTTGAACATCACAATGCAAGGTATCATCATTTTTATTATTTTAGATTTTTTTATTCCCATAGAACGTGTGTATTCTCGTAGAATTTCAATATCATTATCTGTAAAATTAAATAAGGATCCTCCAACATCACCCTCATCCTTTAGATGAATAGAAAATGAAGATAGTGTAGAAGAATCGCTAGTGGGATGTTCCAACGACGACGAGACATGTGTTGTATTATATTTTCGAGAAATTTTTTTAAGAGGCACACACTCTTCGTGATCTTTAAATTTTTATGATTTTTTAATTGATCATAAACATGATCACATTTAAAACCTTTTGTATTTTTTTCGGCAAATATTTGTCGAGTGTCTCGCAATTGAAAAAAAAATACAATTAGTGTTAAATTTATTAAAATTTTATTTCTTATTC